GAGAAGGGTATTGATGTAGTTTCTGAATCTGTGGTGCAGAGAGCAGTTCACCATTGGATCTGCAGAAATCTTGCGTATGCTCTGATGCAGCTGGTGCCCATCTGAAATATAGTCCCTCTGAATTGTTTGGTTTGATGTGGCAGATGTCTGAGGCTATTTGCTGCCATTCTAGTAAAAAAGGGAGTCATTACAAATCCAGAGTCCATATCGACACATCTACACCAAAGCACCGTCTGGAACCCATATATTTGCCACTGCGTAGTAGAGATTGCCATCCTTAAAGCTAGCAGTAACTTCAAGAGAAGCTCAAGGGACTCATTTCTCCACAGTGTCCATGTAACTAAGCAAAACCCTCCATTTAATAGACTCTGGTGGAAAGAGTAAACATCCATAAATAATTCTGGTGTTGAAGGCTTGGCTCTTGTTCTAGATTAAAAGCTTGAATCTAGTTAAAGATTAGTTATTACAACTGAACAGATGCAAGTAATTTTACATAAAATGCATTTCAGCTATAGCAAACTACCTAGTTTTGGATAATCTCTTTATTCTGGTTTACCTTTATTACAGAAACTATACTAGCACTTTTTGTGGCACTAAAATAGTACCTGGGCATAACTCAAACAAAGTGCAAACCAGCTGATTTATTTCAGAACAAAGTGCAAACCAGCTGATTTATTTCAGATTGTGACTTTAAAAAGCTCTTTTCCTTTCCTGTCTCATTTAAATTCTTTATTAATCTTAATAATGGTCACCTATGCTTATGAGCAAGTAGTCTAAGAGTACTTTAAAATAATATTAATTGGATGGCTTTTTATCTTCCTGACTTAATTAAAGTTTGAGTGTGTCTTGATAAGTTTCCATAGTTTAGCTTGAATCAATTTTAACTTTAATTTTAAATCTCTAAATGGTAAGTCATTGTGTATGCACCTTCATTTTCAGGGAATGCCTTGGTGAGGCACATGAACCTTGTGATTGCCAAACCTGGAAGGACTGGCTACAGAAAATATCTGAAATGAAACCAGAAGAACGTAAGAGTCTCGGGGTGGGGGGAATTAAGTTTTTTTGCTATTGTTGTTTTCTTTCAGTTTTAGAGGGATTTTTTAGTTACATTAAGTAAAATCTCTACATTGGTTGAAAAATAGGGTAAAACGGAAAGAAAATTATACCCATGAATCAGGGGCTGCTTCGCAATTTAACTGCATATTAGGCAGCACTGTGGTAGACTGTTCTTCATAAACTATTCCTCCCCATAAATCCGCGTGTGGTTCAGTCAGAGCATACAATACCCTTTTCCCTTCCTCTTACAGCTTTGTTTCATTAATTAATTGATTTATTCCTGAATATACCTTTATTTGTCCTGGGAAATTTTAAATCTTTTAGCCCAGTCTGCACTTCTGTTTGGGTTGTGTTCCATGCAGTTGTTTGTGTACTTTAAAACTAATACAAGCCAACAGGTGATAGTAAGGTTGAGGGTGAATTGCAAGGGAATTGTGGGGAATGGCTTAATGATAAATAACTTTTACTGAAAAAAATAATAAAGGTTGAGTTTACACAGGACAGACGTTTTTCTTGGTCAACATTAACAAAAAAAATAAAGATTAACAGTAATTTAAATAAATGCTAACTTAACTTGGTCACCACAGTTCAGAGCCTTTCCATAATATCTTATAAATATTCTGGAAAGCACAGAAAATTTTAAAAAGTGGCAAAATACACCATACTTTGTCAAACTATGCCAATTTTTCTCATGTATGTATTTGCTCATTTATGTATTATAAATATCATGTATAATATATAAAAATTTGTATAGAAATATATGTTTGGAAATATATAGAAAGAATATGTGTGATAATATTACATATAATATGTAAAAATTAGGAAATGTATATATTTATCTATGTGAGAAGTATATACAGCGAAGAATTACGATACTCTGTCAAGAAGCAGGTAAAGATATATCTTTCCTAATCAGTTTTCAAAAAAGATTCTACAAATACAATTTCACCTTCTCTGTTTTTGCATGCTCCATATCCTCCTGTCACGCTCAAAAAGTTGTGGGAGTGAGTGAGGCATATGAAGATGCTGCCAACTGCCTGTGGTTACTAACGAACTCCAAACCATGCGCCAACTGCAAATCTCCAATTCAGAAGAATGAGGGCTGCAACCACATGCAATGTGCAAAGGTAAGAAAGACCCTTCATACAATTTGTTGTGAAACCACAATTCAGGTTCTGTATGTCATCTATATGTTTTAGGAGCACAGATGTCCAAAATCTCTGAAATGTCATGCCTGAGATCTAATGGAACCTGTTGGCAAGAATTAGATAATTTGCAAATGGCGGGTTACGTGTATTTAGAAAATGTTAAATATTTAGTGAAATCTGTTTGGCTGGCAGGTGAACACTATAATGATCAAAATTTCATAAACACCTAAGAAGTACTGGCAGTACACTATGAAACTTCAGGAAGCAGAAATAATTGATGGTTTAATCATCATTAATAATGTAGAAGAGAAAGAACATTTTTAGTTGGCAGAAGATGAAACATTTTAAGGAATAGTAAGCTCTAATGAAGATTTTGCCTTACTACATTTTTCTTTTGCACTATTTCTCTAACATCGCAACAAAACAGAGAAGTTTAAATGGAAAACTATAAACGGGAATTAATCAGTAGGAATGAAAAGACAGCAGAGAGTAATACCGAAAGAAACTTATTGATGACAGCAGCCAAAAAATTAGTCATGAGTTTGCACTATGCTACTGAAATAGAAAAAAATATTTTTTGCCATAAGTTCAGTATCATTTGAGAATGCTTTTTCTCTCAAATTAGTTAAAAGCCAGCATATTTAGAATACTGATTCTTTATGTCAGAAACAACTTACATAACTACAGTGAATACCTCTTTGAGGAGCATCATTAATAATAAGAACGTAGCACACACTTGACATAGTTGGCCTCCAATAAAAAGCTAAGAGATTTAGAAAGTAATTCTCTTTCTTTTTTTTTCTGGAAATGCATTGGTCTCTCTCCATTGCTATGCAGATCCAATTTTCTTTATGTTATCATCACATATTCTGTCTTTCTGTGATATGAATTGAAGACTGGGCCTTTTTTTGGTGCCATTTCTTTGGGTTTGTCTGTGGCCGCAGAGAACAGATTCTCCTCCACTTGATTTATGCCAAGTTTTCTGGTTTGTTTTTTTTTTTCTTAAATGATTTTTAAAAGAGCTCAAAATCCCATGGGGCTAAAAACTGTAAAAGGTATGTTAGTTGCAGCTTCTGCCACTGAGCTCATCTCAGTTGAACAAAAATATGGCTTCAGGCTGGAGAAGACTTTGGCCGTTAAACACTGTTGAATGCAGATAATTATTTCAGTACCATTCAGAGGCACTGGCTGGCATCCACGGTTCTCTTTTCTTCTTTGATGCTGTACCTTACAAACAACTTCAAGTGTCCTTAAAACAGTCTGATTCCTTTTGTGGTGGAGAAATCTCTGCAAACAGAAGCTGCCTTCCCTCAGCCTAGTGAGGAAGGAAAAGAAGGGTATCCTCAAGCTAACTGCAGGGCTCAGACACAAAGTATAGGGGTCACCTTGCTTGTCTCTTCCTCCACTGAAGTAAGGGTCTGTGACGGAGCTTCTGCCTTTGCTGCAGTGAGGTCTGCTCAAGCCTACTACATGATCACAGAATCACAGAACGTTCGGGGTTGGAAGGGACCTCTGTGGGTCATCTAGTCCAAACCTCCTGCCAAAGCAGGGTCACCTACAGCAGGCTGCACAGGACCTTGTCCAGGCGGGTCTTGAATATCTCCAGAGAAGGAGACTCCACAACCTCCCTGGGCAGCCTGTTCCAGTGCTCCGTCACCCTCAGAGGGAAGAAGTTCTTCCTCATG